ATGCGCCACCATCTTTCAAATCAGGATGAGAAGACCTACCATCTAGTTACAAAATAAATAATGTTGTATCATTAGAGAATCATAACGAAGAATAGAAGTTTCAAATGTACTTACTGCCAGGATCGTCGCATAAATGCAAATCAATTCTTTGACAAAGAAAATGATAAGATGTTTCGACAACATCATATCTGGAAAATATTTTTGAGATAACAGTATTAAATTGATTTTTCGTTCTTGTCTGTTGAGATATTTGTGCTTGATATTCTGGCAATACCTTAAAGAATCATTATTATTAATATGATTAAACATATAGATGTCAATTTTAAGATTATATTTACAGACCTCCAACTTCCTGGCAGCTTTAGTTTTACGTTCTAAAATTGTAGCTTTTTCTATGAGACCACCTAAAGAATCGATAAAATGAAGTGCTGCCTTCAATTGTGAATCTGTAAGAACCCACAGAAGGTCGTCTAATATAAGAACCAGTTTTGATCCCATAACAAAACAATCTGAAATACGTATGTCACTTAATTCTATTTTATTATTAAAGAAACAAAAAGTATGTTTATTATTCAAGAGCAATTGTATTCTTTTTGAACCTGATATTCTTTTCTTGATAGTAATGCGACATCTTGCTTGATTTGTAAGTAAACGTAACGGTGTAAGATTCTTATCTTTAGTACTTTGTGCTTCTATTCTAACTGTCTGCCATTCTAGTTCTTTAAAAATAAGTAACTGACCACGATCTGGATCTTTTAACCTAGTTGATCTCAAATCACAACGTTGCCATGTTGCAGACTTTGACTCCACAATAATACGATTCATCTATAATAAAATAAGAGTTTTTCACTGACTGTCACAATGTAAATAATAGTACGATGGTATAATAATAGTGTAAGAATAATAATTAATATTAATACCTGAACTGAAGCAATGAATGCAGGACTTTTGAATGTAACTGACACAGTATTAACAGACACTGTTATACCGTCAATTACCTTCTGTATAAAAGAATATTTTGTAGGGCCTGCGTACGAAGACATTCCTTGGGGGGAAGATAAATTTCTCAAGTCTTCACATGTTTCTACTTCTATATGGACTTCATCCAAAGTCTATAAATATCAAAATATATAAGATTAATATTATTTAAAATTTTATTATAATTACATCTATTTTAACATTTATTAAAATAAAGAAAAAATCTATAAAAATTTGGATATTCTGGCTAACTACGTATATATAATCGTAGCTATTATTTACCAAAAAGATAGGAACACTTCTTAGTTTGGTCCATTGTATACGAAATGAAACTTTGTTGCACCAAGCATTTGTTAATCTGAGCCAGGATGGCAATTCTAATAAATCTGTTAAAACTGTTTCGTCAAGCTCTAAATTTGTTAGTTCTCCTTCTCCTTTAAATGTACTTAAATTTATTTTATCAACCGATAGATTCTTGGTAAACCTATAAATTTGTATAAATACATGAAACAAATATCATACTTCTACTGTAATAGAATATCATAATCTTCCTAGTAAGAAATTTTGTGTGAACACCTAAATTTAGAAGTAACATATTGCAATACGTATAACACAGACATAATAACATGGACAATTTGCTTTTACTTTAGTCATAATCTGAAAAAATTATCTTTCAAATTGTCATGCTATCAAAAGAAGACAAATACAAAAAAATGACCGATAACCTGGTACCAATAATATTAACGAATCGATAAATTATATTAAATGATCGACGATTGTAAATAATAACAGCACGCCTTCAAATTAATCGAGGATGGTACAATTTTTGATCGCACATTAAGTTCAATCTAGGAGAAATACGTTTAACAATCTAAGCATGTAAATACCTCGACAGATGTTTCAATAGTTGCTTCTTTATTATTGACACCATTTTTTTACTACTTTCAATTAGTTTCTACAACGTCTAATATGCGCTTCGACATGATTAGTTTGACATCCTACATTTGCACTTGCACTGAACTAAAATAAGTTCACACATTCGCGATGCATGCCACGACTTTCGACAGGAGTCATGGGAATCAGTAAGTGATCAGTAAGTGGACTCAAGTGGACTACAGTGTCTACAGTGGACTATACATGGACTATACTCAGGATAGCGCTGTCCAACTTGTATCTTGTGTGTTATTCAGTTAGGGCTAGTTTAGTGTAACCAGATTTATCGCATGCGCGTTGAAAATTGTACTTGGTGAAAAGTGAGTCGAACGCATTCCCCAGTCGCCCGACTACGTACTTCGTGCTTCATGCGCGACGAACATAGCATCAATGAAGTATACACGCGACTAAAAGGGGGTACATTTTTGGGACACCCTGTATTCATGATTTAAGAATAAAGATAGGACATTATATAAAGACAATATAAAAGTATAGACAATATATAAATAATAAGGACAAATATATTCATGATTTCGATCTCATAGCCACAAAAATAGCTATAGCACCCCTCCTATTACCGTGGATACGTCGTGTCCGATACGACACTGTTGATCATTAGTCTCGGTTGGCATCACTGCTCTCGGACCTAGGGAATGAGGAGTGATGGGGATGAGGCAGGACTAGGGACGCCATAGCCAAGGCGCAGCCGCAGCGACGCGATAATTATTCATGGTTATATTTGAAACTTCAAAAGCGATTCGATATGATCGAACAGTTGTGACGTTCACGTTTAAATAAAAGAAGAATGGCACGTTTTTGACGGACTGTGCGTTTATTTCGGACAAGAGCTAGCCGAAATCGACGTTGATCGCACGAAGAAATTCTTTTTGCAGATTCGTAGGAAATCGTGCACGACATCGCGGAAGAATATGTCCCATACGCGCATGTACTCCCTTTGCTGCGTTTAACGAGCTGTGTTTAATTCCAAAAGGCATTCGAAATGGCTGACGAGAAAGAAAAATGTCCGGATGATCGATTGGAAGAGCTGTACTCGTGGATATCGACGATTCCGTTTTCGAAACCGAACAGGAACTTGACCAGAGACTTTTCGGACGCTGGTACCTATATCGCGACATTTTCCTTTATCTTTTATCTATTACTTTATCTTTTATCTGCTACTTTTCCGCGTTGTTACCGTTTAAACGATCGAAACTTGTGTTTGTTAGTTCTGATGGCCGAGGTCCTCAAAGTATATTATCCCCGTTACGTCGACCTCCACAATTACGTGCCAGCTAGCAGCTTGTCCACGAAAAAAGAAAACTGGTCCATCTTGAATCGGAAAGTACTCAGTAAAATCGATATGAAATTGTCGAAAGATGCGATCAATCAGCTGGCGAACTGTCATCCTGGGACCGCCGAGCAATTGCTTCTAGAACTGAGGGACAAGATTTTAAAGAATTCCGAGCATCAGAATTCGTCGTACAGCGATAAAGAGATAAATTCGATCGACGAAGGTACCGCGAACGTTAAGCAGTTCAGAAAACATCGTTACATCGATAGAAATGATTAATCGTATATATTTCCAAAGCGTGTGCTACTTTGCGCAGGCAAGAACGACGAGCATGCTACCACGGAACAGAATTTATCTTCGTGTTTCTCCGACCAATTAACCACCAAAACTCCGAATTCGAATAGATCGATACTCGCGCGCATCAAGGACAGGCTCTCCTTTATCGTGCGATTGCTGATCATTTTGTTTTGCGTTTGGAATTACTTTCCAAGTATAAAGTTCCAAATTCCGCGTAAGTTACTTATGTTACTGGTAAGACTGCAATTTAACCCCTCCATCCTTTTCACACCTGCGATACGTTATTTTACTTGTTTTCGCGTGCTGAATACGAATATCATTGTCGTTTTTAACGGAAATTGCAAATTTTCAAGATATTCGCAGAAAACTGTCTTACTAATGCGTAGAATTTTACGACGGCCGGATATAGAACCTAACCTAACCTAATATACTGATAATATTCACTTCTAATTGAGTTTCAATAGACTACGCGGTTCAGTCCAATAACTAACTAACTTTAATTTTAATTTTAATTTTCAATTTTCAATTTTCAATTTTCAAGGAAAAGCAAAGGCCGACGCGTCTCATGGCCAAGGCACATGGGACAGCAGAAACGAAGAAGACGATGCCGTTCCCCGTCACGTATGCACGCAACTCAGACAGGAACTACGGGAGAAGGACGACATTATCTGTACTTTAAATCGCAAGGTCGAGTACCTAGAGAGCGCGATGAAAGTGAAAGACCTGCGAATATCGAATCTGGCGTCACAGATCTTACAGAACGCCGTGGAGTCCGAGCAGCTCGCGAAAATTCAAACGAACAACGACGGGCAGTCCAAGTCCCGGCTTCGATTAATAAATAATCGGGAGAGAGTAAAAGTAGAAGAATAACGTTTATCGGCTTGAATAAATATCAGCGACCGTCACGAGACCAGAAATTTTCCATTGATACAGAGCAACACGCGACAAAGTCAGCGTTGATGTTTTTAAAAAGAATACCACCCAATAAAATAAGAAAGCTACTTTGTCGAGACTTTCTCCGAGTATACATAGATTTAAACGATAAATAGCGCGTTAAACTGGAATGCGGATTTCGTTGCGCGGTGCTAGTTTAACTCTAATTAGCTTGTAGTCCGATGATAACAGTCAGCGAAGTCTGCATCCTTGTACGTACAAGCATTCGAGACTTTCGGCGGGTATCGAAGGAAAACGCGTCCGTCTATTCGTTCGATTTCGAATTACGGCGCAGCGAAAATTCCTACGGTTTCGCCGTGGATGACTTCGCGAGCAAAATCAGGCAGCGCGACCACGCGAGACGCGTGAGATTGAAAAACGTAACGAGTTCTTTTCTAGGACGAGGCTACAGGGAACTTGACATTAAAGTTTGTAAAAGTCACTCTCTGGTCAGTGTTCTCCGGGCAAGAGGAACGAGTAGAGAGTAGAGAGAGTGGAGAGTGGAGAGGGAAGAAGGGTGATGCTTGATGCTTGATGCACGGTCACGTATCGTAAAGTCACTAGTCAGTGTCAGTATAGAGGCAACGCGCTGACGGAAAAGATACGTGACCATCTAGGACCTTCAAAAGAGAATTCGGTAACAACCGGCGTGAGTATAATCCAACGTCGGATTAGCCACTTTTCTCTGGTGCTCGTCGCGCAGATATCTTTTACGCTGCCTTTTGGAAATTCCGACTACTCTACGCTTTCGTTTCCTGCGATTCTTGCGAACAGAATCGCCTGCAAAGCATTCTACATCGACTAACGAACGCAAATCTAGCTTTCTTTCGTAATTAATCATCGACATGTTCATCGCAGATATTGTAATTTACGCGATTTTAACGAAATCTCAAAGATATTGTACATCTCGAATATTTCGTAGATATTCTCGTGCTTTAAACTCGAGTATCGGAAAGGTCGTTCGTAAATGTTACTTTCAAAGTGAAAAAGTTACGACGGTCCAAGAGACCTTTATACGAAGATTATTAGAACGCGTTGTATAATTAACGCGATACACGCAAGGATGTCGCGGCATTTACCGCTGTCATCCGTGATCGTTTTTTACAATCAGAGTATTTTACGATCAAAGTAATTCCACAGATGCATTCCGTACGGTGAAATTTAATCGGTACAGGCTATAGAATAACCGGTTTGCGTTTACCTCGGGTTTACAATGCCGAAGATCGTTTGGGAACGTTCGAGTGCTCGTAAAGAATTTTTCGTATACGTACAAACGCAGTTTTGCGTAACGGGATTCTGTAAACCATCGCGTATCGAATTGGTGAGCGATAATGGAACGGTAGATGCGTCGAACTCCGCGGAACCGTTTCGTGCGGCGAGGTATTCCTCGAGTAGAACGTCGTACGTCATGTGAGCGTCCGATATGTCTAACGATGCGTGTTCACGGGCATCGACCTTCAATTGACGCTACTTCGAGCAGGATATTTCAATGCCAAGCGTCGTAGAAACCAGTTTCGACGTTACAAAGTAAAATGTTGAAACTTACGCACACGAGAATCGAGTTTCCGCGAATTTATTGAACGTACGCTCCCCTGTAACAAGTTGTTACCAACAACTTCCCGTGTTCGTTATACACGAATTCTTCGAACGTTGTCCGTTTAGATCATGTTATTGAAGATCGTGTCCTGCACGACCCTGTGTTACTTGGCCGCGGCCGCTTTACTCGGGGTATTTCTGCTCCTGCTGGCGGTCTACCTTTACGCTCAGTACACTTTGGGAGTTTGCACGAGCAAGAAGAAAATGGACGGGAAGACCGTGATAATCACTGGTTGCACTTCCGGTATCGGAAAGGAGACCGCGAGGGACATCGCGAAGAGAGGCGCGAGACTGATCATGGCCTGTCGAAACATGGACGCCGCGAATCAATTCAAAGGTTCGTCGAAACGGGACTATAACGCGCGATAACTATTATTTATTAACACTTTAACGTCCGATTACACAACATGCGTGTGCCGAAAACTATTGTGGACAAGTACCACACTCTCTGTATGTGATGATTTATGAATGGAAACTGTATGAATGGAACACGTCGCTACGTGTTTTGATTTTATGTAATTATTGTTTTATTGTCTGTTGTTAATTTTAGATTTGTTAAATTGACACTATGCGGTCCGGGTACACTACAGTCAGGGCCGAGGTGACCTTTTCCGGGGTCTGAATTTATATTCAAATCCTACACTTAAGTTTTACAACGAGGAATTATTTATTTACAAATGCCGGCGACATTTGGCTGCGTATACGTGCGGACGTTGAAGTGTTAACGTCGATCGTTAAATCGACTTTGCTTTCCATCGACTGGATCCGAAACTGTTTCACATGAGAATCTCTGATGTAACTTTATTTCCTGCAAAGCGATTTTAATTGAACCGATCGGTCTGAATATTCCCAGGTCGCATTCATTAATAATTACAATGACACTCTACGCGTCTTGCGTCAATCTTCGACTATTTGCATGGTAATCTTCTGAGAATAATATATCGAACCGTTTGTACGACTACTGCACACAGTACGAGTAGTTTGTAAAAAAGCATGTTTACTCGAGTGTTGAGTACGCGTTAATATTTACGTTAACTGTAAATCATTCGCAGAAGAGCTGATAAAGGAATCCGGCAACAACAACATAGTCACTCGAAAGCTCGACCTGTCGTCGCTTTCCTCGGTGAGAGAATTTGCGCAACAAATAAATCGCGAGGAGAACAGGTTGGACGTGTTGATTCACAATGCTGGCACTGCAGAGGTGTTCAGGAAGAAAGTTACGGAGGATGGTCTGGAGATGACCATGGCGACGAATCATTACGGTCCATTTTTGCTTACGCATCTTTTGATCGGTGAGATAATTACTCCTTGGACTTGGTTAAACTGTCGAACGATATTAATGATTTCTGCATCACGCGATCGCAAATATTAGCATATCTTATCCGGTGTTGGCCATAATCGTAATCACAATTACGATTATGATTGTGATCAAATGTTACCGAGTCGTGATTACGATTGTAAAAATCGTACAATCGTAATCATAACTTATCTGCGATTAGGATCGTATTTTCAGGGTTTTTCACGCATAGAAATTTTGTACCTCAAAACCAACTTTAGATTCGTGTTCCTCGCCCTAAAAAAAACTTAGAAAACCGTGCTTTGGTCAAAATCAAAAATTACAAATTTTTATTCAAAATAATTCATGCCGATAGAGTAGGAACTCGATTTTGAGATAACAAATTTCCGTGTCTGAAAACCCCTAAAAATACTTCCATAATCACAGAAAAATTTGTGATTATGATCGTAATCGTAATCACTACTCTGAAACATTTGATCGCAATCAGAATCGTAATCGTAATCATGATACGCCCGACACTGATCTTACCCTATTTAATGACACACGCGGCGTACGGAAACATTCTTTGTGAAAAAGATAACGCATGTTTGTTGCCCGCAGATCTGTTGAAGCGATCGAAACCGAGCCGCATAGTTGTCGTCGCATCGGGACTGTACGTTCTAGCGAGTTTAAACCTGAACGATGTTAATCCAACGACGACCTTGCCTGGGTACCTGTATTATGTCTCTAAATACGCGAATATCGTTTTCACATTGGAACTGGCACGACGCCTCGAAGGCACCGGTGTCACTGCCAATTGTCTCCACCCTGGACTGATGAGCACTGGAATCTGGAAGAACGTTCCCCCACCATTCTCGTGGGGGTTGAACTTCGCACTGAGGACTTTCTGTAAAACGCCCGTGCAGGGCGCGCAGACAACCATACACCTTGCCGTTTCCGACGAGGTCAAAGGAATTTCTGGCAAATACTTCGCGGACTGCCGTGTAAGATGAATTTTCAACAGTAACTCGTACCATTTATTGCCACGTTAGCGCAGGGCTCGGCAACGCTCGCACCTTTCGGCCGTTTTCCGGTAAACCCCGCCTCCTCGTCCCTCCCCTTACCGCGACGTTCTTGAGTCTCCAGACAGCTCATTGGCTGCGCGCGGGCTGGGCGGAGCTCGCCGAGAAACGCCCGAAAAGTGCAGTTATCGCCGAGCACTGTGTCAACGCGCAGAACATTCGAAGACTGCCACAGCAAACAATGAATCGCTGAATCGTTTAATTTCAGGAACAGGAACTTTTCAGCGGCGTGAAGGATCCGTCGAAAGGTAAAAAGTTCTGGGAGCTCAGCGAAGCGATGGTGAAATTCCAACCGACTGATCCAAAAATTTAGCGATTATTCCAACGTTTTTTTATTACTTACGTATTTAAGTTTTGCGGGGTTTTCGTCGCACTGTACTGTCACACTGTGTCTTCATTCTTTGTTGTTACTATACTTTCTAGAAGTTGTTTTTGTAAACTGAAGTTATAATAATAATAATAATAATAATAATAATAATAATAATAATAATACAGTATTCGTAGATACACAGTAAAACATAGAAGAGACAACGTCCATATCTGTTCGTCCGCTATATTTATTTATCTTTTAATACATTGGCGAGAAAGTTCGAATTATTAAGAATCGAGAACCACGGGAATCGTTACGACTATCGAGCAGATCCACCGCTCAGTGTTTCACGTTACGCGATTTATTCGGCAAAGGGAACAACCTCTCCCAGAACTGCATTCTTTCGGGGAAGAAACTATTTTTCATAGTCGGATGAGGATTGATATCCAGGAAATTGGTTTGCGCTGGTACAAATGGGGTCCACGTTACGCCCCTGAACCTGTCGTTGTTCCTAGGAATTGGTTCGCCAGTTTCTACGAAATTCGCCCACATCGACGTAGAAACTTCCACCATCGGGATTTCAGGCGCGTCCGGTTCGAAATATGGGAAGAGCTGCTTCATGTAGAACAGGTACTGCAGATCGTCCTGGTGGTCTACGTCTAGGGGCAGAATTTTAATTTCCTGTGAGTTTCGCTCGACGCGATTCCAATGAATAAAAACAAAAAGGAAATTGTTATACCGAACGGCGTAGTGTCGTTCCACATTCGGAAGCTGTAACGCGACTTGTACGTGAACTTGTAAAAGTACACCGGCTGCTTGGATTTCGAAGCCATCAGTTTGGCTGTTCGGTACATGCTAAATATGATTATACCATCGGCGTACACCTGGAAGCGGTTGACGATTTTTAATAATAACGCTACCGTCGAAAAGTTGAAGAGAAAAGTTGAAGAGAACTTTGTACGTACCTCGGAAAGTCCTTGCATGGTGTTACTATCAATTGGTTGATTGTTGAAATAGAATCGCCGCAATTCCCTGCTGATATAGTTCGATCGTGGTGTATCGCGTTCGTAATAGAATAGAATGGGAGCAACGCGGTTCCAGTTGTCGTTGATTTCTTGGTACAGCGAACCATTGTTCAACGCATCTTTTTCATAAACTGCAATCCACGACAGGTTAGTGCGTTTTACACGCAGAACTGTACATTCTTAATTACCATTACGTAATGATTACTTTGACCGGGTAATTAAATAATTGCCATTACAATTACAGTAATGTCTCGTCGAGCGCACAAGTTCGGGACTGACCTTGGGCAGTTATCGTAGACAAAGTAACGCTTAACAAGACATTACTGTACTCTGTCGCATGTAATGGTATTTGCAATTACTCAACTATTACCGGCGATCCAATTTCTTATTTATAACTGCTTATAACTTGAATATATTTAAATATTGTTGGCGAAGTGTCGATTTTGAACATATTCCAAAGAAGGAAACGAGACAAACACATCGGCATTCAGATTTATTCGAAGCCTAGGATTTTGCCCATCACTGATTAAGAACAAGCTACTGCGTAATTACTAAAAACAAAGTAATCAAGAATTACTCAGTAATTAAGAATAAGGTATTTGATAATTACTAAATTGCATAATTACTAAAAACAAAGTAATCGAAAGTTATTTAAGTAACCATTTTCTTCAGATGTATAATCGTTACCGTAATCGGTTGCGTACTTACGGGAAGCTAGCCCACCGAATTCATTCTCCGTCACGCCAAGGATGTAAGGGACCTGTTTGAATTTTCCCTGCGAGATCAAGTCGTACGGCTGAGCAGTGAGGAACCTCTCAACGCCGCGGACTTCCGGCTCGACGGTGGGTTGCCAAAGTAAGATTGGGGTTTGATACCAGTCCTGCGACAACGACAATCACAACGTAAACAACAACCCGGATGCCTTGGCAAACAACGGGTATTCAACTCACGAATAACGAAGCCAAGGTGTCGGTGAAATTCTCGACGGGTTTCGTGTACATGCAAAGCAACATGGAACCGGTTGTGTCGGAGGGACAGTTTAGCAGATCGGCCAGTTTCTTAGCGAGCTGTTTCTGCCCGTTGCTGGCGATGTTTGAGTAGACGTCACCCTGCAGGGGCGAGCCGCTCATCGATATAGCTCTGTGGAATAGATTCTGGGACATCGGCGACACCATGTGCAGGAGTATACTGAAACTACCAGCGCTGTCACCGCAGAGAGTGACGGCGTTTGGATTGCCACCGAAAGCAGCGATGTTTCTTTGAACCCAACGAAGAGCCACCACCTGGTCCTTCAAGCCCATGTTTCCTGGCGCCAAATTATCGCCCATACTCAAGAAACCTGAAAAAGATAGACTGTCACGTTTCGTATTCTACGAGAGCAGAAAAGAATTTTGGAAATTTGATTTTCTCATCACCTAACGCTCCTAGACGGTAATTGATTGTGACCAAGACGATGTCCTGGTCCATGAGATACTGTGGCCCGAACAACGTACTCCGCCCTGAGAAGGCGTAAAAGCCGCCCGGATGAAGAAACACCATCACCGGTCTCGATACATTTTCATCTTTGCAAGGTAACTGCAATTGTAATCAATCGGACTATCGTAAACAAAGTTTCGTAATGTCTCGCGCGCAGAGTTGCGAGGAATTGATCAAGTTTTTCATTGATTCCCGTTTTTAGTTGGCAATTAATAACAAACTATGTAATTAAAAATTATTTAATTAAAATTGAATTAAGCGAATCATTCGATTGATGATTGATTTAAGAGGAGTAAATTCAAGCTATTTAATTGACGATTGACATGAGTGAATTCTGTCGAAGATATTCAATTAACGATTAATTTAAACAGAATTAATAGAATCGATTAACTCTGCTTAATACACTTTTAATTATATCATTTTTAATTACATTTATTTAAACGATTTATGAATTAAGTTGATTGAATTAAATTTGTTGAAATTAATTATTTAATTTAAAAATTGTAAATCATTATAATTCAAACCCTGCACACGTGCGCGTACTCACTTTTGTGGTATACACGTTCAAAAGTAGACAATCTTCGGACGTGTAGTTTTCGCCGTTCTGAGGACACGCGGGCCCATCCTCTGTTGCATCGTAAACATTCTGCCAGTCTGCTGCTGGGACCGGGGGCTGTAAACATCAAAGCGTTCGAATTTCTAATCGCTGTTTCGAAGAAACGACGAAAATTACAATCGCGATCTGTCTATCGACTTCTGCAAGAGTGATTCACAGGTAGCATCACGGTCTCGCCAGCGCGATTCGTCCACTTATCGCTGAAACGGAAAGCCTCATTAAGGTATGAATAACAGCCAAATGACGCATCTTTTGTGTCAATTTCATTATTTCCACCTACGTCTTCGTTCCTTTGTCTCATAAGAACTATGATTCCTTTGGAGATTAGGATTCGACGTTCTTTCACGCATAATATACGATATACTACGGTGAATGTGATCAATTCTGGAATATTTATCAAATTCACCGGTGATTTTATATGTATAGTCTCCAACTCGTAATGGGAAATGTAATATACTTGTTAATGCGTATGCTCTCTACATCGAAATACTGTCTGAGTAGGTTTGAGATAGTTGTTGGTGGGAACGGGAATATTAAATACTGTTTACACGGAAATACTGTCTGAGTAGGTTTGGGATAGTTGTTGGTGGGAACGGGAATATTAAATACTGTCTGAGAAGGTTTGGTGTAGTCGTTGGTGCAGGAATATTGAACACTGTTAAATATAATACC